TGTCACACAGTTGGGCAAAGATCGTCCTCATTGAAGTGTCCATTCTTGCAACTGGGGTCCCAGCAACCACATGAGCACTCAGCCTTGACTCACAACCCTGTTTCATACTTAATATTCCACCTGTCATGGAGTCATCTCCCAGGCCTGATGCCCAGACAGGTTATAAGGGCAATCACAGAGCAGGCACAATTTGCATGAATAAACTTTACCAGCAAGATGATCTGGGTATAGCATAAGTTACACATGGGAAGGGGTTGATCTCATTCCAACAATGAGGCTTCATTCAGCAAGGCAAGTTCTGAAGCATCTGCACCGTGACCTCAACCCTCTGCTCCTCAACTTGTGCACATGTTAGACAGGGAGTTTCCCTTACAGGACAAGTGAAAGGACACTGGGGGCACATCTGCACTGACTTCTTCTAGGCCAGAATAATGGATCCTCTCAGTCTTCATATCGTCTTAGGCTGGGTTCTCTAGAGAAGCAAGGCCAGTGAAGCTATATCTATATCTGTCTCTATATCCAAATTTATCTCTCTATGTATGGAGAAAGAGAGAGAAAGAGATTTATCTCAAAGAAATGGCTCATGATATTGTAGAGGCTGTCAAATCCCAAGTCTGTGGGGTTGGCGGCTTCTCCGGGTGCAAGCAGCTTCAGGGGCTGATGGACCCAAGATCAGTAGACAATATGGCAAACTACTGACTGCAGAGGCTGATGGCTCAGAGATTGGCAGGTATGACGGCAGATTGCTGGCCCACAAGCTGAGGAGGCTCACAACCCCAAGACCATCAGGCAACACAGCAGGCCATTGGTTGGAGTCCAAAGAACTAGAGGTCAGATGATGACGAGTCAGATGTAGGATCCAGATAAAGAAAATAACAGAGAGCTGGTTTGATCCAGAGCATATCCAAGGCTGTAAATATTTATGGAAACTGACCACCTCATCCTTCTTCTGCAGAAGTAGAGAAAAAGCCACTAGTAAATGTCAGGCCTAACAATGTCACTTCTTTTTACCCAAATAACTAAATACAGTACAGTCCCCATGGAAATTCTAAAAGCACTGCATATCCTTTGGAACTTGTGCTGACTTGCTGTGTTTTGAACTTGCTGTGGAACATTGTTATTTCTGGGATCACACCCACCCTGTACTCTGCCCCTGAGTAGTCCCTTATGCCCTTCAAAGCAGATCCACTGACCCCTCATCTAAGATGCCTGACCCCTGGTGCACCTTGGTCATAGAGCTTTCTACAGAATCTTCACTGATGGTGCTCACACCTTAAAGGGTATTTTATGAACATTTTTACACTCCCATAGACAGGACTCCTGGGTAAGTGACAAGAGTGTAGTCATCAAGCACAGTGTGCAGGGATCCCAGCATCTAGGAGTCAGAGCATCGATGTGTGGGTGGAGACAGTGACCCGGTGAGTGGCTGAGAGCAGCTGGGCTCTGAGGTCTCAGCAACGGGGAGGATGCTCCCTGTGAGCAGCAGGGGGCGCTGTGGGCCAGCCCTGTGGTTCCACCTGCTGCTCAGTGAGGACCATTCACTGAAAGGAGCCCATGCCTGGGGGCTGGGCCCTGTGCTCACTGATGGGGACCCAGCTGACAGCTGTGTCCTCTCTGTCCTGGCAGGGTCCCCTGAGGAAGAACCTTTGTGTGGTGTCAGCAGGTGCTTCCTCCCAGGGCTTTTCAAGGAGAAACAAGCCTTCCTCCTCCTTGGTCAAGGGTGTGAGCTGAGCTACAGTGTGAAGGCTCAGGGAGGGGCTGGGAGAGTAAAGGGGCAGAAAGACATTTGAATTGGCAGCCCCTCCTCCGGCAGAGGGTGGAAATAAAAAGAGAGCCTGGGGCACCCAGTCCCACTGTGGGGCCTCAGCAGGGCTGTGTCCACCATGGCCTGGGCCCCTCTCCTCCTCATGCTCCTCTCTCACTGCACAGGTAGGGACCGGCCTCAGAGACCTGGGGAAGCCTCCATCCTGAGTTAGGGTCTCTGGCTTAGATCCCCCACAGCTTCCCCTCCTTGTTCTTGTCCATTCCCACGTGTGTCTGTGTTTGCAGGTGCCCACTCCCAGCCTGTGCTGACTCAGCCTCCCTCCATCTCTGCCTCCCTGGGCACATCTGCGAGACTCCCCTGTACTCTAAGGAGTGACATCAGTGTTGGCAGCTATACCATCTACTGGTACCAGCACAAGTCAGGGAGTCTGCCACACTGTCTCCTGTACTACTACACAGGTACAAATTTGGGTTCCGGGGTCCCCAGCCGCTTCTCTGGATTCAAAGATGCCACAGCCAATGCCGCAATCCTGCTCATCTCTGGGCTGCAGCCTGAGGACGAGGCTGACTATTACTGTAAGATCTGGTACAACAGCGCTTTCCACAGTGACACAGGCAGATGGGAAAGTGGGACCAAAGCCCCAGGCTGCTCAGGGTCTCTAAGGCCAACTCTTCTCTAGTATTAAATATTATTCATGTTCACTGACTGACCCTGGAGATAGCCTCCTGGGCACAAGGGCTCTCCTCTCAATACCTCATGCAGTGTTTCTGAAGTCCCAGTAAACAAACAATCTAACAAAATACACAACTAAACAGGAAAAAAGAAAATCCACAATAACACTGAAGATTCACATAGGGGCCCATATGCAATAGAAACAACACCCCATGAAGTTGCCCCAGACTGGAATGACCATAAAAACATGCGAGAAGCAAAGTTAAATTTCAAGCCATCCTGAAAACTCTGATACACACGGGTATGTACAATACACCCATATCTAGCAGCCTGTAAGGCATTAGTAACCTGGATACAATTAATATCTCTGCTGTAAACTTCACGGATGGGATCTACTCACTCTTCAGTCCTGGATAGTGACCTTAGAAAGATCCATCTGCAAGTGGGGATCCCCTTCTAGGAGAGCGGGGTGGTGTCTGAGGGGCTGGAGAGTCTGGGTTCTGAGACCAGCAGGAGACGCTGGTGTTCTAGTCTTGAAAGGGCAGGTTCTGGGTCAGGCCAGTTAGGACAATACTCTACCAGCTCTAGAAAGGGGGAGTTCTGGTAGCATAGTGCCTAAGGCATTCGACTGCTAACCAGAAGGCTGGTGGTTCAAACCCACCAGCCACTCCTTGGAAAGAAGGTTGGGCAATCTACTTCTGTAGTGATCTGCCTCAGAAACCCAAGAAGGAATCACTAAGGGTAGCGTCCGACTCGATGGCACATAACAACAACAGCTCTAGAAAACTTGGCCAAGCAGTGTTCTCCCTGAAGTGTGTCCTTTCTGCACCTGGGGTCCCCAGAAGTCAAGTGAACTCTGAGCTCTGACTCAGCCCCTTGCTTCATAATTCACCCTGCTTACTGGATTCAGTAGATGAATCCTCACAGGACACCTGGGAGCTCAGCCTGGCCTTCTTCATCCCCACCCAGGAGAATACACTCAGACCGACTACACAGACTCAGAGTCTGGGGTGGGACTGGAAGACGAGGGGTGGGGACTGATTTACATGATGGGACCCTCCCTCTTCATGGGTACTTGGGGCACCAATGAGCTTGGGGGAGCAAGGCCCCTGCCATGGGTCCTCACAACACAGTTTTTTTGTGGACATTCCTTATCTCAGGGACAGCTCACCTCCTCACCCCCTCACTCACTGCATAGATAGCATGGGGACTTGGGGATTGGAGGCATATGGTATCTGCCATTTCGTCCATGTCAGTGACCTCAGAGACTCTTATCCCCTCTCTCTCTCTCCTGACTGTCAGGGTTATGGTCTCAGTCTGTGCTGATTCAACCGACTGCAGTGACCCAGATTACAAGGCACACAATCACAGCTCTTGCACTGGGATCACACAACACTGGGCAGTAGCATGTATCACGGTGGCAACAATCACCTGTAGTGCTTCTGGAATAGTGAGCTGTCAATCAGCTCAATGGCTTCTGGTCCAATGCACTGGCTGTAGGTCTACTTAGGAGCCCTGGGGGCACAGTGGGTGAAGAGCTTCACTGTTAACTATAACCTTGGAAGTTTGAAACTAGCGGGCTTTATATGGGAGAAAATTGTGACAGTCTGCTTTTTTTTTTTTTTTTTTAAGATTGCTTCTTTGGAACCATAAGGGACAGTGCTACTCTGTCCTCTAGGGAGGGCCCCTATGAATTGGAATTGGCTGAACAGCAACTGGTTGGTTTGGTTATTTCTCTATGTATACCAATACCATATTATCTTAACTACTGTAGATTTATATTAAGTTTTATCATGAGGTAATATGAAACTTCTGAATCAGCTTATTAAAAAAAATTAGATTATTATTATTTTTTTTACTTTTTTACATAAATTATTGAATTAACTCATTAATATGTCTAAAATATCCACTGATAGTTTATTGAAATTTTGAATTAACTCAAGGAAAATTAACATCTTAACACCATTGACACTTCCAATCCATGAACATGGTATGGAGTTGTGTTTAGTTAGAGCCACTTTCATTACACAAGTAGGAGGGGGGAGATGTAATGATTTCAGATTCTAAAGACACCAAGGAGCCTAGACTATCTAGGCTTCTCTGATAATATTAAATGAATTGTGTCAGAACTACTGACTCTGTCTCACAGCCATCCTGAGTCCAGGAACTACTCCCATGGAGACTTGGCTTAGTGATCATCTCAGATCCCTTGTTGTGATGACTAAGGTAGGGATTTGACAAGGGTGGTCAGAAATCTATTCCAAGGTTTCAAGAGAGTCCTTGTTATAGTCACCATGTTAAAAGCAACAAGACGAGCAACAAGAAACTACATGGTTTCTATTCTATGTGCACTTTCAATTATTGGGGAAAACCAAAAAACAATTTCACGGCCATTGACTCAATCCCAACTCATAGTGACCCTCCTTTAGGTTTCTGATGTGGTATCTCTATGGAAGTAGATTGCCCAATCTTCCTTCTGAGGAGTACCTGGGGGTTTGAGCCACCATCCTGGTTAACAATCAAATGTCTTAATGTACAGTTGTGAATCACTCAAAGTCCTGTGAGGGGAAAATATGGTTGTTAATGAGAATACACAAAAGAATCTCCTATTGTGTTTGGTTGTCAGGTGGGCCTTACTGAGGATGATTTATTATACTTACAGTTCTTCTGAATAAATGGGCACCAGCTCACTTGATAGGAATAGTTTCATATACATGGACACCTAATCACGTGTACGGCAAACAAAATAAATCAGGGGAAATTTAAATAGAAATCCGAGTTCTGGAGTGTGATACACAGCTGTGAATGTCTCCGTGGGCCTCAGCACTGGAAGGCCTGAGAGCTCATTGATCACAGGCAACATCATTGATCCTTTAGGGGCAGGACTCCACCCAGCCCCTTCACTTTCAGGCTCTGGGTCTGAAGTTAAATCCCTTAGACTTGCTCAGCCTGTTTCCTTCCTTGAAAAATAAGTATGATATTAGTACATGAATCCAAGGATAGTTTTAGGATGGGCTACTCCATTCCGATGGAATTCCTTCCTCCAGCTTCAGTCCAAGTCCAGTCCCTGGTTTCCACTGTCTTTGCATTTTGTCCATCTTACTTTTTACTCTTTTCCTAATCTTAGAGAGGCTAACACTCAATCCTCAGAGGACTTTATATACTAAATACGTAATAAATAAATGTATAAACCCTGTTCTTTGGTTCTCATCCGATCTCTTCCTTTGAGCCCTTGCAACCCTCAGGTCGTGCAGGACTCTCCCTCTTCTCCCTGTTCATCACCTGCAACTTCTCCAAAGAGGCTTGGCCATCCAGCAATTGGCCGTGCTCTTCCTTGCTCTGAAGTCGGTAAATTTCTTCTTACCACAATGTCACTTCCTCTCTTTCAACCATCTAAGTTACATTCATCCTCTTCCTCAAGAGCCAGACTGAAAGATGAAGGATGTCTGTTCTCAGATTCCTCTAAATTTGCCAAATGATGAGACCTTGAAAGATCATTTCCTGTTTTTCATATTCTCTGTGTTAGTGATTTCTGGTGAGAATTTCCTTTGAAGTCCCAATTCCCTCCAAAGCACAGAGTCCACTAGGATTGGTAATATTGAGCTAAGCCCAGTGCTTGGCAAGCAGAGCTGTGTGCAACAGCAACGAGAAGGGGAAATGGCAGAGACCAAGCCCATGGAGGAGCTTGATGTTTGATATGTGATCAATAGGGAGCACCTTGAGACAGGTTCTGGGAACCTACAAAGTGTGTTCACAGATGGAGGAATCCCCAGAGAACTTCAAGTGAGGGTGGTAGTAGGTAGAGAGAGCAGAGCTCTCTGCTCAGTGATGGCAACTCAGCAGCTGTATCTTTTCTGTGTGTGGTCCCAGCACCTGCTTCCTCTCAGAATGGGCCCATCAGTCAGAGCATCTCTGAGTTTCACACTTCTCTGTTACAGCCCCCACAGCCTGAAGAAGTGCACAGCTTAGGGACAGTGGATGGGAACACATTTGCATGAACAGCTCTTCCTCTAGGTCAGTGGGGAGGGAATAAGAGAGGCCTGGGGCAGCCCAATCCAGCTCTGTCTCAAGACAGCTGCATCCACCATGAGCTGGACCCCTCTCCTCCTTGTGCTCCTCTCTCACTGCACAGGTAGGAATAGGCCTCAGGGACCCAGTGTAACCCTCATCTGGGCCCAGCCACTCTGACTAAGGGCCCTATCAACTTCACCCTGGCCTCTGGCTACATCACCCATGAATGTCTGTGTTTGCAGGCTCCCTCACCCAGCCTGTCCTGACTCAACCACCATCCATCTCTGTATCATCGGGAGTAGCTGTGAGACTCACCTGCACCCTGAGCAGTGGTTTCAGTGTTGGAGACTTTACCATTCGCTGGTACCAGCAGAAGCCAGGGAGCTCACCCCAGTATCTCCTGTACTACTACTCAGACTCAAGTAAACACCAGGGCACTGGAGTCCCCAGTCGCTTCTCTGGATCCAAAGATGCCTCCACTAACACAGGCCTTCTGCTCATCTCTGGGCTGCAGCCTGAGGATGAGGCTGACTATTACTGCAATATCTGGCATGACAGCTCTAAGACTCACACAGTGCTTCAGACCCATGGGGAAGTGAGACACAAACCTCCCCTCCACTCTGCTGGCCTGGTGCCAACACCACTTCATGGCCTATGACTAAGTCCCACTCAAGGGTGACTTCTGTTGGGTTTTATTTCCTTGGATCAGTGGATATGACATGGACTCCTTTCATTGAGTTCAAAGTATAATTCCATTCATTGGTGCTCTGTTCACCCTGACCATGTTGACACAGGAAGAAATCCATTCTCAAGGTTGCGTGTCCTTCTGAGATGAGGGATGAGGCTGAAGGTCCCTGATCCCACACACATCCACCTCAGGGTCTGGATGGGACTCAGAGAGGTGAGCAGCCAAATGTGCTTCTGGTTGGTCATCTGGACACAGGATGTTCCAGACAAATATCTCCATGTGCAGCGCCCAGAGACAGGTCTCCTTCCACCTACACTTGCTAATCTGGTCTGTCACTGGGAACTGTTCTCCCCTCCATCCTTATGGACGTCAGTCTCTGAGGCTTCAGATGCTAAAGAAACTGAGTCTTCTCCAAAGAGTGATGTGACTCTACCTGGCCCCTCCCAATGTGCATTGAGTCACACTCAGTAATATCCACCTATTTTCTTCCTTCCATGAAGGCTTTGAGCCCAGGCCAAGGCATTCATGGGTGTGGAGATATTCAAGAAACAGAGATCCATTGAAGTGAATTTTGACTTCCAATAGAGTTTTGAAGGCAGATCAGAGAGATGTGGGGAAGTTGTGTCCCCACAGTGAAGCCTCAGGAAACAGTGGGTGAGGACTTCCCTACCCTGCATAGGGGTCTTGTCCTCCTTCCCCTTCTCTCTGTACAGGCTCTCTGGAGTGTCTTCACTGAAGTGAGCTGGGTAGAGAATTTTCTATATTATGTGGGTGACTGGTTACTAGATTCTTAAGTTCTACTGGGCTCTCTCACCAAGGAAATTAGATTGCCTGCAGGAACCCCTTACCTGGTCTCAGTTCTAAGATAAGGTGTACCTCAAGTCCCCTTTGAGCTCACATGCCTATCCTATGCTATGTCCATAAGTGTACACAGATATGATCCACATAACACTTCCTGTAACTCCCAGGAAACCTGTGTTCAGCTTGCACAAAAGCTCGGAGAAGCCAGGGCTGGCTTCAGATGCATATCTAACTTCTTACCAGTTCTGTGACCTTAGACAATTTATTGTATTTCAAAGGTCTTCCCAGTCTCCCCAGCTGCACAATCAAACCCAGAAATGTTATGTGAAACTAATGCACATGCTTATAGATGAAATAAATAGAGAGAGAGAGAGAGAGAGAGAGACAGAGAGAGACAGAGACAGAGGGAGACAGAGAGAGAAAGAAAGAAAGAAAGAAAGAAAGAAAGAAAGAAAGGAATCAGACTGAAGTCTGACTCCAACAGAACTGAGTTCTAGTGATGTGAGGTTGGGAAAGTCACTTCAGCCTTTGACTTCATTCTTCAGTTGACACCACAAAATGTTTGATCACAAATGAAAATCAGAAACCCACACCCTCTGGGATAAGTCTTCAATAGTTTCCATTGTATTTAGAATCAGATCCAAGTTCTTCATCTCACAGAAATTGGTGTGATCTTGCACATAGATCCACCACGTCCTCACCTCCTGGTGGACACATCCTTGTGCTACCCCCTCCCCTTGAGTGTAGATTGGCCTTATTGACTGGTTTCTAAAGAATAGAACAGGCTTCAAGGTCTGTGACTTCCACTTTGCTCTCCCTGTCTCTGGTGTCCCTCCTTTCTCTCTCACCCCTTTTCTCTAGGGAAGCACACTACAACATTATGAGCTGTCCTGTGGAAAGGCCCATATTGCAAAGATCCATGGAAGGGCCTTGGACAACAGTCCTGAGCAACTGAAGCTCTCATCCCAATAGCTTAAAAGAAACCTAACCCTGCCAGGAACATGTTAGTGATCTTGGAAACGGATCATTCCCCAGTCAATGCTCAGCTGAAACCCCAGCCCCAACCTCCTGAAAGACTTTGAAAGAGAGACACCCAGCTAGATGATATCTAAATTCCTGAGCAACAAAAACAAATATATATTTGCTGTTTTGTGCTCTGAATTTTGGGGTAATGTTTTCACAGAACAATACATGACTTGTACAGGCTACCAGGCCACAGGGTCTGGCCCTGCCCACCTCTTTCCTTCTACTCTTCTCCTACCAAGTTTGCTTGAGCCACAGTTGCTGCCTTCTAACCTCTTTCTTTGGATTCACTCACTTAGGTCCTTCCCCAATTGCTTCCCGAATTCCAAGTCTCTCTCTGCTGAAGATGAACTCCAGGTATTGAATGCATTGTCAAAGGACCAGAGAATGCAGTGGCTCAAAAGTGCAGAACCAAGGTCAACAGACATTTCTCTGAGCTTGTGCAACTTGCAGGGTCACCCAGTCCAAATACCTCAGTGTATAGAGGAGATAGCTTTACGGAGGGGATTACATTTTTTTCAGGTGCTCAGAGAGCTGGAATGCCAGATTCCAGGCCCATTTCTCTGGAGGCTGCCATGGTGTGACCTTGGCTCAAGAAGGCCCATAGGAATCTTGGGTAATGACTTCCCATGAGCCTGGCCACTCTCCACTGCCCACGTTGGAGTTAATAGAGAAATAATTCACTCTCTACCCAGCCTGTATTTACTCAGCTTCTGCTATTCTCTTTGTCTCGCTTTGCTCCTTCACCTTGTCCCCACCCCTGCACCAAATTTCCACCTGTAGTCTTTGTTTCAGTTCATGCCTTTACCTTGTCCCCACTCCCTGCCCCTAACTTCCTTCTGTTATCTTTGTCTCAGATTCC